GCTGTGGGCCGGGCCCCGGGCCACAAAACTGGCTCAGGTCACCATCTGTAGTTGGGCCCCAGCTGCTTTTGGAGCTGGGCCGCTGGGTTTTAAAGTTCCCAGCGTTTCCTCTCTCACCTGTTGCGCGGCGCTTGAGGACGCCGCGCATGCGCTCGCTCTGCCCCACCGTGCCCAGTAGAGAGCTGCGGGGAATTTAACGCGAGGGGCTGTGGTGCTTCGTCACAAATGCCCCTCTTCCTCCGGCAGCTGGTGGCTGGCCCCAGACACCCCGTGCGCACGCCTACGTTTCCCACGCTGACACCTGAACAGCGACTTAACACCGCTTGGAAACGTCACAGCTGTGCAGGGGGAAAGGCTGCGTTCCCTTTTTTGTGAGTCATCGCGTTTACCGCAGCACGGCACGGTGTTGGCACTGTTTTGGGCTGTGCTTTGTCTCTGCGGCTGCCGGCGTGAGTCCTTCTGGTTCCATAGGAGGCGTGTGGTTGACGGGTCGGTTTGTAACAATGGGCTGTGTCACGCTGAGGTTCTCTGGTGTGTTGGGGTAAGGTCTGTCGCTGTGGGTTGTGAAGAGCCGCCCCCCTGTGAGCGACGTAAGTTACACCAGCCTAAGCGCGGGGGATGCCCAGCCAACAAAGCAGCCACCACTCACTGAGGGCGGGTTAACTAAGCTGGCAGGAGAGTTCGTCCCCAGTGTTCCCTCTAATTTTTTTCCACCCATGTGCGGAATAAATTTTGTGTGTCCCAAGGCATGTGCAGAGATGCACCACCAATAGAAGCATGCTGCCAGCTGTGGGTGCTCTGCTAATAGCTGGATGGCAACTGACTCCCTCCTGGGCAGCTGCCCAAGTGCTCAGCTTACAGGGAATGCCGCTTGTCCCGAATTTCCATGGGAGCTAGTTGGAGGATTTGCCTTCCAGCCACTGTTGAAAACAGGGCCCTGGTGGATGGTTTTGAAAATATTCCTCACTCTGTCCCTCTAAACGTGCCAGCCCCGAGACATTCTCCCCTCCCTCCGATCCTTGTGCCAGGCTCTCGCCCTCGCTTGGTCATTAGTTTTCTGTCCCCCTTGGCTGTACCAAGTGCCGGAAAACATAATGGATCCAGCATGGGAGCTCAGCCTGCCAGCCAGTCCAGACCCAGCAGGGCCACGCTTCTAGCTCGTCAGCCCAACCCCCAGCTACTCGATTTTGATCACAGGGGCTGGAGTAAGGTGGAGGAAACAGGGAGCTTTCTGAGCACAGGGACCCTCACCTGGGTCTCTGGGCTCTTGTAAGACAGCCAGGGGCTAGGCTGTGTTCAGTCTTCTGTTGCAGCCCGGATGGGGCAGTGCAGACTTGAGCCCTGGCTACAATAGGGCGTTATTTCGAAATAACGCCCAGTGGATTGTATTGCTAAGCAGAGCGTCCACACTGCCAAGGCAGTTATTCCAAAATAAGGGGTGGGTTATTTCGAACTCTGTACTCCTGCTTTCCTGGGGGAATACGTTATTTCAAATAGCGGGAGTGTGGACGCTCCGGTGCCGCTATTTGGAAATAACGACTCCCCAGAGTCATTCGGACTAATGACTCCCCCGGGGTTTCTGGGGCTCTGTGTCGAGGTAGTGCGTTCACATTCACGGCACCTGCCTTGGACTATTTTTGAGGCTTCCCCATCACGGGCTTCGATTTTTGTAAAATCGGGAGTTACATCGAGTTTCGTTATTTTGAAATCATTTCCTCTTGTAGACGTGCGACGGCAGGATCGAGTGCGGCTTTTGCCCTGGTCGGAGACGGGCTCTCTGCAGCCCCGATGGATGAGATCAGAGCAAGGTCCAAAGGGCAAAGACGCTGCCGGTCTCTGCTCCCCCGGCTGTCACCTTCCTTTCCCATTCGCCGCCCACGCGGGGTTTGTGGGACATGCGCAGTGTGCAGCGACTCTCTGCCAGGAGTGTGGGGGGGGGAGCAATTTTTGTAACCACGCCTTGTCACATGACTCGGGATGGGGGGGAGGGCAAACTCGTTGGTTGGGAAAGGAAAATAACCAGTCAGTTACGAAAGTCCCTCCTGAAGCCAAACCCCCCCCCCCCAGCCCTGGTAACATCCTTCCATCCATGGGTCTCAAAGCACAGGATGGATGGCAGGTGTGCCTCCTGTTTCACAGGTGGGGAAACTGAGGCACGCCGGGGCCCACGGGCTCAGGAATAGGACCCAGGCATTGGAGCTCCACCCTAGCGCCCCCTGGCCCACCCCCAGGAGAAAACAGCCCAGCGCTGAGGCCTGGCAGCCCTGTGACGGGGGACAGATGCCGGGAGCATCGCTTGGGGAGCTGCGGAGTTGGCGGCGCAGCAGGGCGATGACACGGAGCAGCTGGAGAGCGGGTGATAATGAGGAAACAAGGCTTCTTCAAGGCCGAAGGGACCAGGGCTGTAAATCAGCCCCAGTGGCGTTCAGCTCCTGCTGCCGTGGGGGAGGGGACGGCCAGTCTCTGGTGCTGGCCAGCCTGGCTGCAGGGACTATGGGTCTGTAGGAGGCTGACTTTGGGCACGGGGAGCGCAGGCCAGGGGGAGGAGCTAGGGATGGGGGGCCTGGTCCTCACCTGGGCTCCATAGGCTTCTCTGGCCGCAGAAAGGGAGGGGAGAACAGTCCCCAGAGAAACCCCCCCCCCCCATGCAAGGAACCTCCTGGCCAGGGAGGACCTGGCGTAAGGGGCCTGCACTCCCCAGCTCCAGCAGAGGGGCTGGGTCGGGGGCAAGGCTGGAACGCACTGCATTGTGGGTATCTCTGCCCCCAGAGCCCTGAGGAGCAGCATGCGAGTTACAGGAGCCTAGAGGCTGCTCTGAGTGACCCCGGGGGCTGGCAGGGCCCAGGCTAGACGGTGCACGACAGATCCCATCCCCACCTCCCGTTTAGGGGCAGAGTCACTGAGAAGCCAGCCCCAGTGTCCTGCTCCGCCTGCTCCCTGGGCTTTGTAAATGGGAGTTGGAGAAGCCCAGGGCTGTGGGTCGGGATTGAGGGGCACTGGCAGAGCTGGGGGGGCAGGGCTGGGGTAGCAGGGGCTATGGGCTGGGACTGGGGGGGCAGGGCTGGGGTATTAGGGGCTGTGGGCTGGGATTGAGGGGCACTGGCAGAGCTGGGGGGGCAGGGCTGGGGTAGCAGGGGCTATGGGCTGGGATTGAGGGGCACTGGCAGAGCTGGGGGGGCAGGGCTGGGGTAGCAGGGGCTATGGGCTGGGATTGAGGGGCACTGGCAGAGCTGGGGGGGCAGGGCTGGGGTAGCAGGGGCTATGGGCTGGGATTGAGGGGCACTGGCAGAGCTGGGGGGGCAGGGCTGGGGTAGCAGGGGCTATGGGCTGGGATTGAGGGGCACTGGCAGAGCTGGGGGGGCAGGGCTGGGGTAGCAGGGGCTATGGGCTGGGATTGAGGGGCAAGGATGTAGCATGTACAAAGTAACAGTCAGTCTGTGGGTCTGACCCAGAGCACTGGGTTGGGATTCAGTTTGGGGACACTCCAGCATAGGGGATGAGCCCCATGAATGGGGGGTACCTCTCCCTGCTTGTGGGTACCCCGATGCAGCTGGCACTGTTTTCTGTTCTCCCGACATGCCGAAAGGGGGCAGATGGGCAGGTTACCAGCTGCTCTGTTTGGGGACCCCACGTGTGTGTGTGGGGGGGAGGGGGGAACAGCTGGGAGAGGCGGGTTTGACCCTGAATCACAAAGCGCGACAGGCGAGTCGTCTCGCCATCAATCACCCCCTCTCCCCTGATGCTGAACATCACCGTCCTGCCTGGGCCGCTGGGCTTAAAGGGGCCCTGCCATCGTGTTGCCCCTGCCTCGGTCGCTCTCGCTGTATCCCCCCTTCGCCTTCACTGCTGGTGCAAGGGGCCCCGATCCTGCTGGGTTCTCTCGGGCCTGATCAGCCCAGCACGGTCATTGTGAGGCGAGGCCGTGACTTTGGGAGAGGCACCTGCTAGTGATCTGGTGGGTCAGCCCAAGGTTGGGATGGGGCTGGTTTCATGGGGGTTGGCACCGGGGTCTCTACCTGCAGGGTGCGGGATGGGGCCAGAGCTGGGAAACACTCCATGGGCAGAGCTTGGGGCGGGGAGGGGGGGGCTGTTTCGATACGGACGGGGAGGGGCCAGTCCCTGCTCTGAGCCCAGTTGGATACTTGGCCGTTCATTTCAAGGGGGCAGGATCGGGGCCTGAAAATACACTGGAAGCTCAACTCCCCCACCCACACCCCAAACCAACCCCCGCTGAGCCCCATCTGTGGATCCGGCCCCCTGGGGCTCCCCAGAAAAAGCTGCCCCCAAAATTCAAGGCCACTTCGGTCCTGAATAGAAGTTGGAAGTGTGTGGGGGGGAAGGGAGGGGCAGTAACAAAATGCAGCCTCCAGGGGGCTCTTGGAGTTTGCTTTCTATCCTTAGCTCTGCCCTAGGGAAGGGGGTTGAGTGGAGGGGGTGTGTGTGGGAGAGCCCAGCTCTGGAGCAGCAGCGGGGGACTGCAGGTTGGGGTTGAGGGGCATTGGCAGAGCTGCGAGGATCAGGGATGAGGGGTGTCGTTATCCCTGTGGGGCTGGAGCAGCAGGGGGTTCCATGGGTCAGGTCCGCAGCGGTGGCTAAACTGTGCTGGGAAATTGATGCAGCGTCTGGCATCAGCCAGGTCCCTCCAGCTCTGGCCTGTGCTAGCAGCCTAGGTCTGCTCCCTGCCTCACTCGTGGGAGCCATTTCGGGGTTCACCAAGAGCGGGCCCATCACCTGCTCACACGCCAGGGGCTGCCCAGCGGCCCATTTGGACTCAGGAGACCTGGGTGCCAGGCCTGGCTCTAACACTGCTCCCTGCGTGACCTGGGGCCGATTATCCACAGAGCGGAGCCTGAAAACACTGCTGGAGGCATCCCGGGCTCCAAGCACTGTACAATGTGGGAGCAGCATTGGGAGTACCAAGGCAGGGTCCTGATCTCAACTCCAGTATGTCGTAGGATCTGGCCTGGAAGGGAACTGAGTGCCAGGAAATCAAGCCCTGAGGATGGGAACAGAGAGCCCACGGCCATCTGGCCTTGAATTGCTCTGTGCCTCAGTTTCCCCATTGGTGAAGTGGGGCTAATGCTCCTCCCCTGTCTCCTGGGGAAGGAGGTTGTGCAGCTACATTTGATTGTCCCCATTAATAATCCCCAGCTCTTTGCCAAGGAGGTCAGCGCCATTATTGCTGTCGCTGCACAGGTGGGGAAACTGAGGCACAGCGGCGGGCCATGACTTGCCCTGGAATGTTCAGCGGCAGAATTGGGCGATGATGGTGCTGATCATCGATGTCTCTCAGGGCACAGTTCTGTGCACTAGCCAGTAGCCCATGCTGCCTTGAGTCTGCTGGGGACTGCTGTGAAAGTCGGCGGGGGGTGGGGGGGGAGGGCGGGCGTCGACAGCTAGCCAGGATGTGCCCCAGAGGGAGGGTCTGGTGGCTCTATGTGGCAGTGACTCTGGGATGGGGCTGGGATGTTGGTTTTCACCAGGTCCTCGTGGTTCTGTCGACAGCATCTCTCCCTGGGCGCTCTGCCAACGCTGCCCCCCTGCCTTGCCACGGGCTGCCCAGCCAGCCACAGCCCCATTGCTCCTGGGGTTGATGAGGGGAGGGGGGTGGAAGAGCTTCAGAGTGTGGGGATGCGGAAGATCCAGCCCTCCTGCAGGTTTCTGCACCTGCGGCCCTGTGCTATCCTTTCTGGTCCTACCCCCCCATCCCCTTGCCTGCACATGCGGCACGGTCCCAGGGAGCTGCCTCGCCAGCCGGTGGAGCATCCTCAATTGTTCTGAGCAGGAAACTTGCTTTAACAAGTCCTCTGCTCCCCTTGACATTTGACAGCCCCCATCTGCGCACCCATGACCCCCTCCCCCAGTCTCCCTTCCCATCACCCCAAGCACCGAAGCCTCCCCCTTCCTCACTATCTCAGCCCCGGTGCCCCTCAGTAAAGGGCAGGAGGGGAGCCACCCCCCCGAGCGGACACGCAGCCAGTCACTCTCTTGTGCTCCTGGGTTTGCGGGGCAGAGGGAAGGCTGCCAGGGACTGACAAGGGCCCGCACTGGGCTGTGTGTCCCCTGCAGGGTCATCGAGAACCAGAAGGACGTAACGAACTTGACTCAGGCTGACACCAAGTCCCTGCGGGAACTGAAGAACCTGTGAGTACCCCCAGCCTTGTGCATGTGTGTACGGTGGGGGGCGAATGGGGGGAGCATGCAAGGGGTATATAATGGGGGGCTTTGGGCAGTGCTGGAGGTGTGCAGGGATCCCTTAGAAATCCACTGCCTCTTGCCTCTGAAACCTGCTCCCTCTGAGGAATGGGATGGGGTTTGGGGCAGCAATAGGGGGGCGTCAGGTGACTCTGACCCTCCCCTTTGTGCTCCCCGTACTTTGATGTCACTTAGAGCAACCTTAAGGCTGCTCTAACCTGAGCCTGGCTGCCTGGAGGAAGCAGAAAACACCCATAACGCCAAGGCCCTTCCGCCAGCCCCACGCCCACTAGCCAGGGAGGAGGGGTTCCCTCCCACACTGGGGCTGGCACAGACACGAGGGGCCGGGGGTTGGGCTGCAGATCAGAAGAGATCCCTCCAGCTTCAGACGCCGCTGGGCCAAGCTCAGCCCTGGCGCGACCCTGCTGGCACCAGGCTTGCTGTGACGTTGGCACCTGGACATTTGCGACATCTCTTTGTGTTTCCTTCCAGCACCATCGCCGCCTCCGGGCTGCGGTACATCGCCCCCGACGCTTTCCACGCCAACCCCAAGCTGACCCACTTGTGAGTAGCACCCCCTGCTTCCCCACAATGCTGCCCAGGGAGCCGGGGGGTCCCGTCTGCACAGTGCAATGGGCAACCTGTGGCTGTATTGAGATGGGACTGTGCTGCGCCAGGAGCTGTACACACACGTCATGAGAGACAGCTCATGCGCTCTGTCTGTCTGTCTGTCTGTCTGTCTATCCATCCCCAGCCACTCCCCTAGCTATCCATCTATCCCCAGATCCCCATCCACCCCACCTATCTATCCCCATCCACCCCCTCTATCTATCTATCTATCTATCTATCTATCTATCTATCTATCTATCTATCTATCTATCTATCTATCTATCCACCATGCACATGCCTCTAGACATCTATTTATCCCCATGCACACCCCTCTGTCCATCCATCTGTGTCTGGCCCAGGCTAACCCCTGCCCGTGCTGGGTGGCTTTGTTCCCCTTGCCTAGGGGCTGGGGGGATTGATCGGGCACAGCTGTCTCTCCGACTGAAATCGACGTGAGCAGCAGAACTCGATCCCCTGGCAGCTGGGACATGGGGGTGGGGGCAGCGGAGCCGTGGGGGTGACACGGGCCGCAGGGCCTTGCTGCTGAGTGGGAAGTCATCGATTCAAGCCTGTTTCCAGGAGGGAGGCCTGTTCCCAGCCTGTGGGGCCGGGAGGGAGGGAGGAGACTGCGTTGAGGTGGGTGTCCCCTGTCCTTCATCCCAATGTGCCTGCACCAACTCCCCTCCGTCCCTTTCCCGAGACAGGTGAGGAATTGGCATCGCTTCTCCCCTCCCTGCCCTGCCTCGCAACCCTTCCCACACCCCCCGCAAAGGTGCCCTGCTGGGTGTTACAGCTGTTGGAGGGAAGGGGCAGATCGACAGGCAGGGCAGGGCAGGGCGCAGAAGGGAGGTGTCAGCCGCAGTGAGGGGGGCTCCCCGTTATCCCAAGAAGGTTTTAACTGGGCGGGGAGGATGGACACTCTCTCCCCAGGGCACGATGGAGAGGCCCTGGCTCACCTCTCTCCCCCCACAAGGTCCTGCTTTGGTGGGGGGGTGGTAAATGCTCCCCCCCCATGATGCACCTCTCAGGCGCTCCCTGGATCTAAAAGGTTGCACTTTCGGCACCCTGGTGAAATTGACTGTGCCCCGGTGTAGGCAGACCAAGGTATTTAGGTGCTTAGGGAGGCAGAGTGGGAACTCGGGAGGAATTGACCTAAGTGAGTTAGACACCTGAGCACCTAAGTGAGTTAGACACCTGAGCGCCTCTTTCAGGCGTGCTTTTGGCTGCACAATGCGCCACAGCCGTGAGGCACCGGGTGGGCTGGATCTGTCGTGGTGACCTGTGTTGGCTTCACTGTGTACAGCGCCTTGCACCATGGGGCCCTGGTCCATGATGGGGGCTCTCAGGGCCTGCCCCAAAGAGCAGACAATCTCAGGACATGGAAACAGGGATAATTGATGGGTCTGGTTTGTTTATTTGCACCCTGGGTGGGACGAGGAGGGGTCTCCTACCCCTGGCCTGGCCTGACCCTTCTTAGCTTGGGTACACTAACAGGCAGCCCTCGAGGGAGGGTCATACCTAGGGCCCGGCCAAATTCAGGGTCAATTTTGGTAAAACTCTTATAGGGTTTTAAAAATGGTAAATTTCATGAGTTCATGTTGACACGCTCGGGGTCCTGACCCACCAAGGAGCTGTTGCAAGGTTATCCTACCCCTGGCCTGGCCTGACCCTTCTTAGCTTGGGTACACTAACAGGCAGCCCTCGAGGGAGGGTCATACCTAGGGCCCGGCCAAATTCAGGGTCAATTTTGGTAAAACTCTTATAGGGTTTTAAAAATGGTAAATTTCATGAGTTCATGTTGACACGCTCGGGGTCCTGACCCACCAAGGAGCTGTTGCAAGGTTATCCCGGTGTGGGGGGGCGGGGGGGCGGTTGTGGCATTGCTCCCCTGAC